CGCCCTCCGCCTCCGCCTCCCACCCCCCGGCCAATGCCCTCCGCCCGCGCCTGCCCCGCCCTCCGTCCCCGCGCCGCCCTCCGCCCATCGTGCACGAGGTGCTCGACGGTATGCCCGCAACGACAACATCGTTCATTGGGAATATTCGGTTATAAGGGTTGGGTTTGAGGGTTCTAATCTTCGCCCCTGTTTTTCAACCCGTAAAAGTGCACAAAAAGACCATTTTTAGACCCTTAAAACGCTAGTAAGGGTTTGAGAGTTTGAGGGTTCTACTAGTAATGCTCTAAGCATCACCAGATCATCGCAACCGGAAAAATCGCAGCGCACGCATGCAGTCGGTTGGAGATCACTGGACGGCAACGGCGGTGGCTGAGCCGGCCGGCAGATCGGTTGCTTGGCCGGGTGTGCAGCAGCGGGGCCAGAGCCTTGACGACGATGCTCATGCTTGGCCGGAAATCCACAACATAAAAATATGGCGAGTCCTCACTGTCACTGCTAATTACGTAGTACTCAAGAAAAAGGTTCCTTGATATAGCTAACAATAAGCAATGTGCCTCTAACACTCTTGTCTGCGCCGATTTAGCATAGATAGATAATCGGAAAAACTAACGCCCACACGTGTGGGCGTTTGCACATCGCGGACATCACCAGAAATCTTTTTGGTTTTCGGCTTAAAAATATTTTATCTTTTAATTAAAAAGCAAATTAAAAATTCATTTTCACCATTAAATCCGTCTCGACGAGATCTTCAAAACTAGACCCCGTGTTGATATGTTTCGACGAAATTTTTTTTGTCCAAAATTTACCATGATGTTTACACTATAGTTGCCATAGTCCTTAAACTAAAGTTGCCATGTGGCAATTTTAGTTTGTAGATCATGGTAATTTTAATTTTTCGATGATGGCAATTCCAGTACTTTGACCATTATTTTTTTTGTATGAACCATGTCAATTTTAAGTGCATGTATCATGACAATTTTAATTTATGATGCATGGCAAGTCTAGTTTCTTAATTCCCTGTTTTATAATATGTCAAAATTTATTTTTAAATGTAGAAGAAAATAGCTGAAACATATTATGGCAACTTAAGTGTAAACATCATGGCAATTCATGTGCAATAGACACGGCAACTTTTAACAATTTTTTTTGTCGAAATTTATTGATATGAGATCTAGTTTTGAAGATCTCGTCGCGAGGGATTTAATGGTGAAAACAGATCTTCAATCGGATTTTTCATTTAAGAGATAAAACATTTTAAAAACAGAAAATCCAAAAAGATTTGCACATGCATGCATTCGGTGACATGACGTAGTCTGTGTGCTATAGGGTGTGTGGGCGGGTTTGGCTCCCACCACACGTGTGGGCGTTAGCGTTGTCCTTGATAATAGTACTAATTACGGCGAATATGGAACACAATAATCCGTTTCAGGTCTACTTCCAGCATGTCACACCTGCATCCCCTTAACGCAGTGGGCAGCTGTGATTGGCCGGGCCGGGTTCGGCTCACCTGCTGGGTTCCCAGCAGGAATTATTGTGCAGAGCAAATAGGTGAGTTCCACGTGTTCTTGTGGGCCTAGAGATTCAATTAACTTAAATTTGATTTATTACAACTGTTACGGTGATGGGTGATTTTATGAGCCGTCTATCCACCCTAATCTAACAGTCAATGTATATGTGTGTAAAAATCCAGAATGAAATACCTTGAAATGCGACATGTACAGAAAAAAATAATTTCTGGACTTTGAAAACCTCATATTTCTTTTTTTCTTTTTGCACAGCCCTCGTTTCAACGCATTTTGTCCTGAAAATTTAAAACTTGTACATTATGCCTCCATGGATATCTATATTTTTTCAAAAAAATTGAAATGTAAAAATACGAATTTTGCAAAAAGGGGCCTCCATGGAACTTGCCCTCCAAAAGCAATTTATGCTAGTTTGCTCTTTTATAAACAGTGAACACGAAGATGAAGATGGAGAAACATGTATTCGTTTATTTTTCGTGTACGAAAAGATTTCGTCACATTCTCATAAATGCATTCCAAAATTAGTAGCCCGAAAAACGTATATACATCTATAATTTCTATAGAACGACCAACATAACTAGAGCAGATCACAAGAATTGGAAAGATGCTCCTGGGCGAAGTAAACGAGAGGAACAAAGCTAGTTGAAGTAGAAGAAGCTGATCGATACGCCCTACGATTGACAGTGTCTTCATCCGCCGCGTCCTGCATCAATCAAACTCTATCAATGGATTTGTAGCTTAGCGAGCTCCCTTGCTGCACGCCTGGCCTCCCGGCGCTCCCTCCGCCGGTCGACCTCCTGCTGGTGGGCGGCGGCGCAGGGCTCCGAACAGTGCTCCTTCGAATCCCACTGCACCTGGGCGCCGCACTGCACGCACTTGCCCGGTGCCCTCCTCAGCACCGGCAGAAGCAGCTGGTAGTGGCCGTGCTCATCCCGATCCTCACCGACCGGGTCACCCATAATGCTCTCCATGTGAGGGAACCACGGCTCGGAGCCCGTGCACCGGACGCAGTAGGCGCCACCGTGCTCGCGGATGTGGAGAACGGCGTCAGGGCCACACAGGTCATGATGGTGCGAGCAGGTGCCAGCGCAGAAGATTCTCTTACATGCCATGCAGTACGAATCCCTGAGGAGCGGCGTGGCATAGTCCTCCGCGGCAATGGTGCCGACGACGGCGTCGCGCAAGCGCAGCGACTGCTCCGAGTCCCCAAACTCGAAGGTCGTGGAGAAGACAGGCCGGCCGGCGGCGTCCACGTCGACAGGGATGACCGAGTGGAATGGCCCGCTGTGATGGTAGCCGCAGCAGTGAGAGCAGAAGGCGCGTGCGCAAAGCTGGCAGAAACGGTCCCTCCGGCATGTCCGCGACAGATCCTCAAACTCGAGCGGCTTCGACGCCATATCCCTTCCCTTCTTCCTTCGCCAAGAGAGACGAGAAAGTTTGCTTTGCGACGATGGGATCGATGGCTCGGGCCGTGACCGTATATGTAGGCTGTGGACAAGGAGACGAGACAACCTCGGTTTGGTTCGACTCCGGCTCCTTCATGGAGTCGGTGACGCCTTTCCGGTTTCGGGAGTACGCATATACGTATGTGCGTCTGACGTCTGTTCAGAGCCAAATAAGGGTGAACGTCTGTTGACACCAAATTTTGGCACGGTCAATAACTTATTTAAGATGACCTCAAATGGAGAAGTGGTCTTCATGAAAGAGTTCCGTATTGTCGATATGAACATCTTTGAAGTTTGGGTCATCGCAGTCCGATTTCATCTCGAAGGCCGAAACTATGCTCAAAGTACTAAGATCTTATATTTAGAGTACAATTTGGCTGATTAAGCCCCCAAGACAACCTCAAATGGAAAAATTATCTACACGAATTGTCTTCGTCTCGTCGAAACGATCGATTTTGATATAAAAATCATTCCAATCCAAGTTCGTATGCAAAAGTTAGAGCCATCGGAATACAGCCCTGTCAGGACGCAAAAACTGGCGCGCCCCACCAGACACCCTGTCTGATGGGTAACGCGAGGGATAGCCTGTTTTGCGCGACCGATTTGACCCTCAAGATCACCTCTGATCAAAAAACGCTCAACATAAAAGTTGTTCGTCTCGTCGAAACGGTCAAGATTGCTTTTGGGCTCTTTTCCATCCGAGATCGTTTACCACCACAAAAAAAACCCGCAAGGTGCAGCCAGTTTAAACCGAACAGTTTTGAAAAGTTCGGACAAAACCAATCCGAATTTGACTAGGGTTTTGGACGTGAATCCAAGCCTTTTTATTGCACGGGAAGTCCAGCCGCCTCTTATATACCTAAGGGGTGACGGCCGATTGAACAACACACAATCGATCAATCAATCTACCACTTTTTATTTTTTATCTTTTCTCCTTAACCCTAGTTCTTCTTCTTCCTCGTTCTTCGTTCGTTCTTCTTCATTGCAGGGCGGCGAACCTCGAGGCCCTAGGGGTGATCAGGTCGACCTAGGGCAGCCCATAGCCGCCGCGCGCCCAGACGGGGTCCCTTCCGGGCATGTGGGGTTTCGGGTCCCAAAAGCGCCGGCTTGCTGTCTTGCGTATCGCGCTGGAAGTCGGTCTCCCGCGGTGTGAGTTGCGGAGCATCTCCCTCGGCGCCGCGGGTACACATCGACGTGTTCGTGTGACGCGTTCCAGCGTCAACACACTTTTTGGCGACTCCGCTGGGGACGAAGCTTCGAACGGTCTCTGGCCCATTCTTGCTACAAAGAGATCGTCATCTAGGGTTTGCAGTCTACAAAGGTAATATGAATACCCGATCCCTTTATGTAGATGCAAATAATTCATATGGTGTTACTAGATCGTTTAATGAGTATACTCTATCAGCCAACCCTAGTTTTTTCAATCATGCAACTAACTACGTGCAAGGGCCGATTCAAAGTAATTTATATACTTCAACTTCTTATGATATTAGTAACATGCACCATATGTATCCCAACTCACACGCATCAGCAACCCAGCAAATTCATTTGCCGATGAGCAACATGATGAGTTCGATTAATCAATTTGAAACACCCCAAGTTAGAATTTCCAATGCCATACGAGAAAGTGTTTTACCCTTTTATTCATCAGCAGCTAATGTGCAATATAGTAATCCAACCATGCCGATGAATGAGAGAATTGGCCATGCTACTAGTGGCTATTCGGCCAGTTACTCTCAATCGTCATATGCTACACCTCATGTTACTAATTCTTCGGCACCATACACAACTGTAGATGCTCATAATTCGGCTTCACACCTTCCTGGTTATAGCCGAATGAATGTAAATTTTACAGGAGCGGTTGTGCCCAACATTGTAGAGGATGAGGTAGTGGTGGCTGCATTGAAGAGTTTAGCCCAAAATAAGAGAATTAGTGCTCTTTGCCTTGAACAACATGAAAAGGGGCTATTTCGTGATTATGCCGCAATAAAAACTAGAGTTTTGCAAGAAGATGAATCTTTGCCAATTGATAAAATTGGCGAGCAAAAGTATGGTCTTACAACAATGCATATGCCTTCACCTAGTACTACATCATATTATACACCCCCTACACAATTGTAAAATTTCGGCAACACCCGTGTGCCATTGCCGAAAGAATCTAAAAGAATTGGGGGGGGGGGTAATCATATCTAGAGTGGGCCGAAATTGAGAAAAAGCTTAAAGCTAATTTTGCCGCTCGCCGTCAGAAACAAATAGAAAAAGAATTGGCTCAGATGAAAGAAGCATTGCCAATTGGTAGTATCAATGAATAGAAGGATGATTTGGAACATGAAAGTGCTTCGGTTGACAAAGCCGCATCAAGTAGTATATATTCCGAATCCATCAAATCCAAAGAGGCAAGAATTATTGAGAAAGGGCATGGCAAGCATAGCAAAATGACCGTGCTTGATTTTTCTGAAGTTAAGGGAACCTACTTCCTGCCCTATGAGTTCCGTGCCGTAGAAATTGACAAGCCTCAAGCACAAGAGCAAGTAGCCGAACAAAGTTCGGATGACAAGGATCTTCAAGGTAATGATGCACGGAATAAAGAAAAAGATTGTGAAAAGGCGTTGGAGAGTCATCCAAAGACGAAGCTAGATATTGTTCAAGTCACACCACCATCATGCTCTCCAAACATATTCGAAGAGGTATGCATAGAGAGTAATTTACCTATTTTCAGATTTGGTCGCAACTTCATTATTGATGCATCTATAATAAATATTCTCATAATTAATTTTGAAAGACCAATGAAGAAGAGTAATTTACTTGTTAGCAATAAACTATGGAACATATCGGTCAACCCATTGCGCCATTTATAAAGACCGATAATGACTTATTGTTACAGCCAAAGCTTTCCCCCTTGCTTTATCTAAAGTTCATATCTAGTTGGGTAGCTTTGCTTATTTCGTACTTGGCTTGCACTTGGTCTCAACTGAGACATGTATGTTCTAAATATATTTGTTTCAGAAATTTAAAGTCAAGGTTAAATTCTATTGAGAAAACCGATGCTAATATAATATCTTATCCGAAGACATCGGAGTTAGAGTGGAAAACACAATGCATAGCCGAATGGGGAGATTCCAAATCTGAACCATTCGTTTGCTTATCTCCAAAGCCGTCCAAACAGCAAGATCGGCTAGAAAACAAGAAGTATACCTTCAATTCAAGCATGTGTGATCAAATATTTGATTTGTTGCTGAAAAATAATTACATTACAATTCTTGATCACCATGTTAAGCCATCAATCCAAGGACGAATGTATTGTAAGTTGCATGATTCGTCCAAGCATAATTTTGAGGATTGCAACATGTTCCGTCAAATAGTTAAATCGGCCATTGAAAAAGGACGACTGAAGTTTGTTGAAACACCAAGAGATGACCAGTCTATTCCGATTGGTCCTGATGGCAAAAAGTTTTTGCATCGGCTGCTTCAAGCCGATACATTTAAAGAGAAGGTAAAAACTATAGGTGATGGGATGAAGCTTTCAAGTAAAGAAGTTGTTGAAGAGCATAATGAACATAATCTTGAGGGTGACAATTCCATCGAAGCTACAATGGAGATACCAAGTACTGGGGGGCAGCAAGCAAATCCAAAGATCGGTGCAAGTACAATCGAAGAAAACAAAGGCCGACATAAGCACAAAGGTAAAAGCCGAAAGTCACTTTCGCACAACTATTGGAAAAATATCAAAAGAAGAGTGAAGAGAAGAATGCTTATCGGCCAAATCATGCAAAGAAACCAAGATCACCCCCAAGGTGCAAATATGAGGATTGGTATTGGCAAAGTGATAATTTTAATGCAACATATTCATATCCTTATTTTGGGTCATCAATGCCAATGCCGTGGATGCCTCCCTATGCTCATATAGATACATATACATCATGGGACAGGTATGATACAAGGGCACATTCTACATCTTATTCTAGACCATCTCACCAATACTATGCAGCTCAAAGAAGATCAACATTTGAACAATCACGCGTCAAAGACCGTTTCAATCATAAGGAACCGGTCCAGAGCTCAAGGAAGAAGAAAGAGGTGGTCAAGAAGGTTTACCGCATTAAAAGAGATGGTCGTAAGAGTGCAATTTCAGATTTGATCTCAAATGAAAAAGAGCCAATTAAAGTGTTGACATTGGCTACTAAAGGCAATGAGACAAAACAATCAATTGATAAAAATCAGAGTGCCAAATCTGAAGAAAAGAAGTTGAGGGTGCACAAGGCCCAAAAAGAGTTGCCATTTGTTGAAACTAAATCACAGCCGAGATGCCCACTCGGTTTATCGTATTGGCGAAAGAAGGAATTACAAAAACTTAGTGCACAAGAGCTGAAAAAGAAGAACATGGCATGGGTTCTGAAGAAGAGCAGTCAAAATGAAAGTGATGTGCAACCTTCTATTGCAACAAGTGTTACAAAAGTGAAGAAAGAGAAGGATGGAAGCCAAAAACAGTTAAGCCGAAGGTTTGCATCACCCCATCAAAATCTCCGGTTAGCACATCATCCATATTCTTCAACCATACCACTGATGCCTTTGCCATGGAATTCATCATCAGGTATGATAAATTACCCTCCCTGGATTTATTTTAATCCATGGAAGCGACATGATTTTCTGCATCATGAGAGGGTATTACCAAATCTCTATACATTTTATTAGCTACATTTTTTCTTACTAATCCAAAGGGCCGAAATATTTGATTGCTATTTCATTTGTTTATTTTGGCTATACATGATTTGGTGAATGAATTCTACATGGGCATTATGTTGATGGCCGGTATTTATCTATCGCCCTAAGAATATGTCAAAGCATGGCTGATGTAGTATCCTAACATCGTCCTTAGTTCAATTAGAGGCCAAAACGAGGTACATGTTCATTGATATTGCCCTTGTCTTTCTAGTACTATGGAGATTATTTTC